ACTGGTCAAATACATATTGTCGAACAAAGCATTACTACAGAACCTGATTAGCTGTTACGCAGGAACAGTAGTCTGACATGAGACTCTCTTCTTTTTCTTTGGTCCGGGTAATCAGGTTCTGTAGTAATGCTTTGTTCGACAATATGTATTTGACCAGTTCGAGCTTGTTCGTGGGAAAGGTCCAGGGTTCCTTATACCTTTCTCCTTCTGCGTTCAAGTTGGTGAGCTCGTTAAATTGACGTGTAAGGCGTTGTTTCCACGTCTTCAGACTAAAGTCTGTCATCGGTTGGGTACGTGGGGCCATCCTTCGATGAAAGAAATGACCGAGATTTTTGTAGAAGCGCGATATTGCAATGAAAGGCTCAGGAATGTATTGGAAGGCGGGGTTTTTTGTTGATTCTTGCGTTGTTACGTCAAACACTAGATAATGAAAACAGATAAGGGTTTGTTTCTGTTCGATGTTTTGAGAATGACTGAAATCTACTGTAAAGTACCGATGGCATGGGAATCGCCGTCGTTGCGATTGGTATGAGGGCAACAAGGGACCACGTGATTCTCAGAAAGGAAAGGAAGTGATCCGTACTGAGAACCGCGTTAAGAACGTTTTGTTTGGCCTCTTGGTAGATACCTGAGCGTGTCCGTTTTCCAGACAGTTATTGCTCTTTCTTCAAGGAATCACACGATTCCCTTTGAAGTCAGTTATTTCAGGTTGACGTCCCTAGGCTTTAATTTGGGTATGCCTTCCCTAGACTTTTGTTTCGGGTAGCCTTCCCTAGACTTTTACTTCGAGTAGTCTTCTCTAGGTGTTTATTTTGAGACACCAGCTCTATTTGACCTTTTTAGGTCTTTTTTTTGACTGCAGAGTGACAAGATGAAGATTTGACAATAGGACGAAAGAGGTGAAAGGCATGCGCTGCGCCCGAAAAGGTGATCAGGCTTTGGGCGCGACGAATTGCCTCCGGAGAGGATTTTTTCATTTGGAGGATGTGAGAAGATAAGTCACCAAAACTGAGAGTAAACATCTGAAATGAAGGGGAAACAAGAATAATACTAGGCCACGGAGCCTTTTTTTTGTGGAGGGGCAAATGGCTCCCAGGAACTGTCCGATGTCACACTAAACGGACAGTTCCCGGCCGATGCACCATGTCTAAACCTATGTTTAGACGGTGGCTTTCTTGCATCGGTACAGAACAATGAGGTTGACTTCACGTTTATTGTTTCATCCGTTTACCGACATAGTGTAGATCAATCAACCCTCTGCTTGCGTCCGTCTTGTTGTTCGTTCGTTCGCTCGCTGCCTACGGTCGAAGCTAAAAGCCAAGCGCCTTGCTCCACGCTCCGTACCGCCCCTTCTCCGAACATCGTGATGAGTCACGATAACTGGTAGAGCAGCGAGGTCGGTCGAACGCCCATTTGGACCGCGTTGCACAGCCCCCTCCGACAGTCCGCAATGATGAGAACTGTAGATATATTAAGACCGCAATTGTTGAATAAAAGCATAAAGCCACTTGCAGAAACGGTCTTCTGCGTTATCGGGGGGGGGGGGCATTTTATTCCTTAACTTCATGAATCGTTATCCAGTTCATGGCATGGGGTTACTTTTATGAAATGCAAAATATAAAACTGTATATGAAACCCTGTCCTTTAATAGCAAAAGTGCTTTGCACTCGAAGTTTGCCCTCCGAAAGTTATCACTTGAAGGCCAAGTTATATCTTGAGATGACCTCAAACCCGCAGCTCACGCCCACCGAGTGATCGCGCTATCCGTTACCTCATCAGCGCCATCTTTTACCCTCTCAGCTTGATTGGGAAGCAGGTACAGCTCATTGCAAATAAAATAAACTCATCGACCGGTTTTCCTTACCCATGTGCGGGAACGAAGTCAGACACCCTCTCTGGAAAATCAACAAGATTACCACCTGTTGATGTTTTATTGCTACATGTACTAAATGCTTTATTTTACAATGTAATGTTTATCGATGAAAACAGTACAAAGATAGAATGTCACGAGAACGACCTGTTGCTTTCAGCATTAGAAGAAGGGTGATTTGAAGCGTGTAAAACGTATTTCAGTTCCCACTATACCTTCATTTGATCCACTGGCTGTTGGAGACGTGATAAATCATCATCATCATGACGAGGTAAGAAGTTCTCAAAGAATTTTTTATTGATAAATTGAGCATACGGTAACAAGCAATCATGTATTGTTAGTATGTAAGTCTTCAGTTTTTAGGTCGTTGCAAAAGAAATGCAGGATTTCGTTTTTTGTATTTAATACTTATTTTATTCCAATAAAATGTGTTATATATCATTCGAAAGCTTATCTAATGCTCTTTCTAAATGATACTTCAAGATTGGTTGTAATTCTTTTTAGAGGCCACAAAATCGTTGAAGGCGTTTTTGGCATCGTCTTGGTTTTTGAAGCATTTCTCTTCTAAGATAGTTGTCCAGATGCTTGAAAAAGTGGTGATCGGTGGGCGACAGGTCTGGTGAGTATGGTGGATGAGGCAGAGTTTCATAGCCCAATCCGTTTATTTTCTGGAGGGTAAATTGTGCAAAGTGTGGTCGGGCATTGTCGTGGAGAAGAGTCCGGAATCGTGGAGTCCCTTCATATTGACCAACCTTGGGCACATGCGTTAAGGCTTCTGATGCATTTCGTCGATTTGTTGACAGTACTTCTCTGCCGTAATTGTTTCACCAGGATTCAGGAAGCTGTGATGGATGAGACCGGCGGCAGACCACCAAACATGAGGTTCATCTTCAAGGCTGGTGTTGCCACAGCGAAACTTCTGGAACCAACGTTGGACCGTAGATTCGTTGATACTTCCTTGACCCCAAACTTCGTTGATGTTCCGAGCTGTATCGGCAGCGTTTCGTCCTAGCTTGAACTCATAGAAGAAAATAGTGCGAAATTCACGTTTCGACATCTGCAATAAAATGTCAATAAAAATTATAATAAAATGAATTACAACCAATCTTGGAGTATCATTTAGAAAGAGCATGAGATGAGCTTCCGAATAGTATATAACACTTCATATTAAAGTAACATATTATTGGAATAAAATAAGTATGAAATACAAGCAAGCAAAATCCTGCATTTCTTTTGCAACGACCTAATAGAATGGGACTGCAATCGTTGGGCGAAATATTTTGAATTTCTGCATTTCATTCGAGCAAAAGAAATGCCAGTTCGAGGAATGGGCCGTAAAAGGGGAGCGTCGGGAGATCCGAGTTGTGACTGCACAGTGGAATAACTGCTGTAAAGTGCTGCTCATAGGCAGCGTTCAGACTTCGCGACGGCAGCGCGTTCGACGCGATCGATGCAGTCGAAAGCATGCGCATCGATCGCGTCGAACGCGCGACCGAAGCGCTGCCGTCGCGAAGTCTGAACGCTGCCATAGTGCGTCCCACGCTAGCCGTACAACTGAAGAGAACATTCCCTTATGCCCTACCTATCTGAGGGTCCCTCTGAGAGGATAAACAAGAGCGTCGCGAGCGGTACTATACTGGGTTGCATCGAAGAGGATGGTCATGGCGTCACGATCATTCGCACAGTGTTTGCACGTCGCCAGAGCTCTGATCTCCCTGTCCGGGCGCAGCCAGTAGGTGTCCTACATAACGCCTCCAACTGCTATTGACTTGTAGCTGCTGACTGTGTGATAGATGGACAAAAGTCTATTTTTGTCATAATCAACCCCTGAGAAGGAGTTTTAGTTGTTCTGGGCGAGATTCGTACACAAGTCATCTTTGTATAGCAGCAGTGCCACTTGCCACTAAGCCATACTCTCTGTATTGTTTATAACCTGGAAAATTTGCAGCATGTTCCGGAAAACAAGTTACTGGAATACGAGCATAATATGGATAAGCATCAAAAACGATCGTTGCTGAACCTGATTCGAGAAGGAATTCTCGTATTCCAGTAACTTGTTTTCCGGAACATGCTGCAAATTTTCCAGGTTATAAACAATACAGAGAGTATGGCTTAGTGGCAAGTGGCACTGCTGCTATACAAAGATGACTTGTGTACGAATCTCGCCCAGAACAACTAAAACTCCTTCTCAGGGGTTGATTATGACAAAAATAGACTTTTGTCCATCTATCACACAGTCAGCAGCTACAAGTCAATAGCAGTTGGAGGCGTTATGTAGGACACCTACTGGCTGCGCCCGGACAGGGAGATCAGAGCTCTGGCGACGTGCAAACACTGTGCGAATGATCGTGACGCCATGACCATCCTCTTCGATGCAACCCAGTATAGTACCGCTCGCGACGCTCTTGTTTATCCTCTCAGAGGGACCCTCAGATAGGTAGGGCATAAGGGAATGTTCTCTTCAGTTGTACGGCTAGCGTGGGACGCACTATGGCAACGTTCAGACTTGGCGACGGCAGCGCTTCGGTCGCGCGTTCGACGCGATCAATGCGCATGCTTTCGACTGCATCGATCGCGTCGAACGACCGACACTGCCGTCGCGAAGTCTGAACGCTGCCTATGAGCAGCACTTTACAGCAGTTATTCCACTGTGCAGTCACAACTCGGATCTCCCGACGCTCCCCTTTTACGGCCCATTCCTCGACTGGCATTTCTTTTGCTCGAATGAAATGCAGAAATTCAAAATATTTCGCCCAACGATTGCAGTCCCATTCTATTAGGTCGTTGCAAAAGAAATGCAGGATTTTGCTTGCTTGTATTTCATACTTATTTTATTCCAATAATATGTTACTTTAATATGAAGTGTTATATACTATTCGGAAGCTCATCTCATGCTCTTTCTAAATGATACTCCAAGATTGGTTGTAATTCATTTTATTATAATTTTTATTGACATTTTATTGCAGATGTCGAAACGTGAATTTCGCACTATTTTCTTCTATGAGTTCAAGCTAGGACGAAACGCTGCCGATACAGCTCGGAACATCAACGAAGTTTGGGGTCAAGGAAGTATCAACGAATCTACGGTCCAACGTTGGTTCCAGAAGTTTCGCTGTGGCAACACCAGCCTTGAAGATGAACCTCATGTTTGGTGGTCTGCCGCCGGTCTCATCCATCACAGCTTCCTGAATCCTGGTGAAACAATTACGGCAGAGAAGTACTGTCAACAAATCGACGAAATGCATCAGAAGCCTTAACGCATGTGCCCAAGGTTGGTCAATATGAAGGGACTCCACGATTCCGGACTCTTCTCCACGACAATGCCCGACCACACTTTGCACAATTTACCCTCCAGAAAATAAACGGATTGGGCTATGAAACTCTGCCTCATCCACCATACTCACCAGACCTGTCGCCCACCGATCACCACTTTT